TTATGCAGAATGGGGGAAATAGGCTAGGGGGCTATGGAGAAAACAAGAGTGTATACATTACAGTCTCTGTCCTCCCTGGGCGTGCATTTTGGGCAGAAAGCAGCAAAACTTCAAAGTGAGGTCAGCCACAGCAGGCTGCAGGCCAGTGGCTAAGAGGAGAGCAAGATCATGTCCGATATAAAAATAAGGATGAGCCCCACAATGGGGTAGCAAATGCCATCTTCAGGGCAGCCTTAAAGCTAGGGCTTTGAAAGCCTGGTGCAGTGCCTCAGGCCTGTAATCCCAGCACTTTGGGAGGCTGAGGCAGGAGGATTGCTTGAGGCCTGGAGTTTGAGACCAGCCTGAACAAAAGGGAGACTTCATCTCTCCAAAAATAGAAAAATTAGCCGGGCGTGCAGGTGTGTGCATGTGCAGCTACTCAGGAGGCTGAGGCAGGAGGATCACTTGAACCCAGGAGTTTGAGGTTGCAGTGAGCTATGATGATACCACTGCACTCCAGCCTAGGTAGCAGAGCAAGACCCTGTCTCAAAAAAAAAAAAAAAAAAAAAGATAGGAATTTGATGGGCAAAGAAGGGAGGTAGAAAGTAGGAAGGAGTGGGAGGAAGACATTCCAGTGAAAACAAAAGTTCTGGAAAGAACGCAGCACCACCCTGTTCAGGAGACTAAGACTTAAGGGTCTTATACACCCATCCTGCTCTGTTTCTCTCTATTCTCTCACACGTGAAGTTCAGTCGGTACTACTGTATGTAGGGGAGCCTATTCTTAAATTCAAAGCAATGAGGAGCCCTTGGAGGTTCTGAGCAGCTGAGTAACATGGCAGACCTCTGCCAGCAGAGAGTGGAGGGACAAGCTGAGCTCTGGGAGAGCACAGCAGGCCACTGGTCACTTATATCTGGAGTTCAGGAGAAGAGTTGGGGTGTTCCAGCCCCACATTTGGGAATCATCTTCCCAGAAGAGGACAGATCAGTGCCAAGGGGGTGTGGAGAGACCTGGTGGCAGAAGCTCGCCAAGCAGCCATACTTAGGTGGCCCAGAAAGGAGCTGAGGCTGGCAGGGGGCCAGAGAAGGGGAGGCCTGGGGGAGGCCAGGAGTGAGAGCCAAGCTGGGGAACTAACAAGGGAGCTCTCAAATGTTGCACATGCCCAGGGAGGAAGAGGACCAGGGAGAGACCCTGGGCTCTCCCTGGGCTTGGAAATGAGGCTTGGATGGGCTTGGAAATGAGGGGTCTTGATGCTACCACCTGCCATTCTCAGCAAGCCCGGAAGCCCTGCATCCCAGGCCTCTGCTGCTTCTACTTCTATACTCTCAGCACTTGGACCCGCCCATTCCGTCCCAATCTCCCTTGCCTTGCTTTTAGTCACTCCCCGTCTGGACAGTTTCACTGTGACACCAAACTGGGACCCTCTCCTCGCCTCTTCCATCTTCCTTCTCCACATAGTCCTGTGCAACCCTTCCACCAATGACTTTTCCTAGAGCCAGGCTCTCATCCTGCTAAAAAGATTCTTCGAGATTCCCCATTACCTGCGGCTTAAAAGTCAAACTTATTACAACAGCAGTCCGAGCTCCTACTGGCAGCTCACCACGGGGGAATCACCTACAAAACCCTTATGGCTGCAAACCAAGCTCTGTTCTCCCAAATTACACTCTTCACTCTTGGGCCATTTCCTGCATTTAGCCTTAACTCAGAGACAACACTGTTCCCCTGTAAGCAGTAATAACCCACCACCACTCCCTCCCAGTGGCTGTGTCTCTCTCTCGTACATTGAGCTTATTGTGCCTGCTCTGAGATGTCACATTAAGCCCACTCCTGTGGGTAGATGCAGACGTCTCTGCTGGAAGAGGTGACTGATTGACTAGAAGGCCTGGGAACTCAGACAACAGGAGACCTCAGCCCAGGAGGAAAGGGAACACCTTCCTCTCATGGCCTTTCTAGGGCTGGGATTTGTTTTTGTTTTGTTTTGTTTTTCTGAGGCAGAGTCTCACTCTGTTGCCTAGGCTAGAGTGCCGTGGCATCAGCCCAGCTCACAGCAACCTCAACCTCCTGGGCTCAAGCGATCCTCCTGCCTCAGCCTCCCGAGTAGCTGGGACTACAGGCATGCACCACCATGCCTGGATAATTTTTTCTATATATTTTTAGTTGGCCAATTAATTTCTTTCTATTTTTAGTAGGGACAGGGTCTCGCTCTTGCTCAGGCTGGTCTCCAACTCCTGAGTTCAAACGATCCGCCCGCCTCTGCCTCCCAGAGTGCTAGGATTACAGGTGTGAGCCACCGCACCAGACCTAGGGCTGGGATTTGAATGTGGACCCACTGTGGAAGGCTCTTGAGTGACAAAGATGGTGTCTGCCATAAGGAGGCAGGCCAGGAACTAAGTGGGGCAGCACCAAAGGGGCCCCCCTAGGTTGAAGATGAGCTCTACCTATCATCTCTCTTCCTCTCAGTAAAACTTCACTGAACACCAAGCACATTCCCAGCCCCGTGCTATGTGCCAGCAATGGTGTGCTGGTAAGCTGGCTCTTGCAAAAGCAAAAGCCCTGATTTGTGGCATTTTTGCCTATTGCTATGGTGTAAATGTTCCCACTGTTGCCAATTCAAGCTACCAACAGGTATTAGTGAACATGAAGCTGGGAAGAAATGTGCATCATATGCCCCAGAGAGCTGGGGCAGAGCCAGCCCCACACACCACTGGCTGGGGATAAAGCAGGGACAGAGACAGGCAAGACCACTATCTCATGCCTGCTCTAAGGGGCATGATGCTGTTTTGCTTCCACAGCAGGCTTCACTACCATCACAGTGGGTCATGGTTTGTCTTAAGGAGACTGTGTCTTCCGGTATTGTTCTAGTAGGTGGTAAGGCCTTCGAGGGCAGGGACCATACCTCACCCTTCCTTTACTCTGCCCCAACCTCCAGCACCTGCATGAGGCTCCGTCCACAGGAAGCATTGCAGGTGTGTGCTGATGGATTTCACGGGGCAAGGAGAGGCTGAAAAACAGGCTATACCTGCCACCCACCCCAGAGGAGTGGAAGCAACTACAAGCCACAGTGAATTTTGAGTAGTACAGGGTTGGCCACTGGTAGAACTATAAAGCAGAAAGTTTATCCCAATCTCCTGGCACCCTTCCGGCCGGGTTTCAGGCCTGATCTCAATTCTGACCCTGCACATTGTTAAGGGCTTCAATGGTTGTGCTGAAAGCAGGTGCTGTGACCTTCAAAACTGTGGGAAGTGTCAAGAGTTGCCCCTGGCTTCCCAAAGGGGTCCAAGACCTCCCTTCCACCCCACTATCTCCAGAAAAAATTATGTTCTCTGGCTTAAGCTGTAGCCTATAGGGAGTGTGGACTCTGGTCACCCACAGGGCTGACACTCTGAAAAGGGACGTGCATGAGAGAAAAGAGGCATGTTCCAGGGAACGACTTGCAGCTTGCCACACTCACGCTTCCACACTAACAAAAGCTGCCACCGTCCCCAGCATGGTGAGCCAACCCAGCAGGAGGATCCCAGTTCCTGCCCTGGCCAGACAATGCGAATGGTATGCTATTATGTTTCCATTTAGGGAAGAGGGCTTCAGGGACAGTTCCTATAGACCCTGGTCCTTAACACCCGAGACTAGAACAGGCACGGCCCCATGAAGGAGCTCCCTCCGGCCATCCACTCTCCTCTCATTTCGGCATTTCCAGCACAGAGCCCACACCACTTCAAAGATCAATGCTTTATTTTCTCTGGCTCCAGTGTTACAACTATAGCAGCATATCAGAAACATCCCCACACGTAAACACACATTTCTCCCCTTCTTCAAAGACCTGGCAACAATTGAGAGGCAGAAACAATATTTACTACAGGCATTTGAGAAATTTAAGAAATAACACTTGCTCACCCATAGACCATACATTGTGCATCTTGCAGGTAGGAAGCAGCAGTACATTTGCAGTTCACAGACACAACCATCCTTAAATAAAATTAAATAAAACCTTATTGGCATAACAATGGGTTGGAGATGCAGCCTTAGGGGCACTTTTGAGAATGTTGCTTGGAATAAGACATTAACATTAAAAAAAGAAAGAAACCACACATAGAATATAGGCAAGTAAATAGCTAGATTCAATTGAAAGTTAAGAAAAACGCCATAGGGTACAGGGGTGCACACCTGTAATCCCAGCTACTCGGGAGGCTGAGATGGGAGGATCACCTGAGCCTTGGAGTTGGAGACCAGCCTGGACAACATAGTGAGACCCCACCACTTAAAAAATTAATAAATAAGAAAACAAAAGTTAAAAAAAAAGTCATGAATTGAAGATTTCACTCATTTGGAAAAAAAATCAATTTTTTAGTCTAAATGAAAGGTAAAACTCTGATCTACAAGTGATTGAACATCAAATCATGCTTTGAGCAGAAGAGCTAATTCGCACACAACACCCTGTATGAAAGTATGAGTATTTTATTCCAGTGGCATTGCACAGCTGCAGATATAACCCCAAAGATGCCGGTGACAGAGTATGTGCCATGATTAAGCAGGTCACTAGGTGGGGGTGAAGGGTGGGGAGACATTTTCCTATTTAGCACTTTGTAATGTCCAAGTCACAATTGAAAACCCGACAGCAGTCTGCAAAGGATAACAATACCAACCTTGGAGATAAAGGCCAAAGGAGAAAATTAATTCCTACAAAATTAACAAACATTTTTATTTGTTCAGTGCTTCATGACTCTCAATGCTTTACCCGACCTCTTGACGACCAGGTTGGGCAGGCAGGACAGACAGGTGGCTACTACCAGCCAATCTGTCCCTCATCACACCCACCGGGCTCTCAAATCCAGTCCCTACCTCTCCTTGCATCCCCCTAACCAAAGGAGCGTTCCCAGAGAAGCCAACAGTTTCGTTTCTAAAGACCACCAAAAGCAAATCCTACAGGAAATAAGAAATATCTTGCAGCTGTGTGGCATATCCTAAGTGGGCAAAAAGGGGTGGGTAGGATAATTCTTTTTAGAATTTGATTTAAATTCTGCTTCGGAATTTGATTTTTTTCCTCCATTCACAGAACTGAACACTATTTAACCCAAGGCAGGTTTAGAGAGCAGGTGTAAACATTCTCAGTGGCAGCATGGCCTACGTGGCTTTCTGCATCTCCACGTGGGAGGGAAGCTGGCTGCAACCAGTTTTGTGGGTGGGGAAGGGAGAGACTCCCCCCACCACCCCACCCCCACCAAGGTGGGACAGCTGGCAGCAGGGAGCTTCTCAAGGGGGACACGTGGGGGGCACCCAACGTGGCTCTTTCCTACCCTCATCTAAAAAAAGGAAGTCAATTGATTGTTTTATTATAAAACTTCTCATAGCTATTAGGACAAAAACCGATTCCCAGAGGCATTGTGTGCATTATCCCAAGATAAAAATGCTCCATGTGCACCTCAAGTCCTTCCCAGGCAGCAACACCATCCAAAGATGCCAGGGCCTGCGCCTCCCCAGTGAGATGTGCCGCGGTGACCATTGTGTGCGGCAGGAAGCAGGTCAGGACTGGGTGCACCAAAACGAGCACACACACGTACTTCCTGCTCACTGGTAGAGACGGGCTCTGCTGCAGGCTCAGAAAAGGAAACTGGGAACCTCGTCAGTCTTCCTGGGACAGAGGTCTGGCAGCACATCGAATGGTGCAGCTAGGGGGCACAGGCTTGTGTTTTCTCCCAGCCACGGTCTGACTCAGTAACGCACCATTTCCAAAAACAAGGATTTGAGGCCTCATGTTCTCAGGTGACACAGACCTGACAAGACTGCAGAATGGCTCTGGAGAAGCAGCTCCTGACTCAGGGGTGGCAGGGAGTGGGGGAATTAATGGTTGGGACAGGGCAGTGGGGACAAATGCCAGAGGTATGCTTGCTGGGTTTTTTAGACTCCCTGCACTGCACCAGGAAACACAGGAGGAGATTAGATTTAATCAAAACATACATAGACCAAGTTACCTGTAGTGCCTGAGTTAAAAGGTGGATGTGGAAAAAAGGATAAAGGCAGGATTTATCCCCATGACTGGCCCACAAGTAGCCAAGGGTTGGCGTATACAGGGCTTCTAAGTGCTGGCCCAGGGAGGCATACGGTCATGTCACAACAGTGGAGGAAAGGGTCTCGGTAGGTTAAGACAAGTCATCCTAATTCTACCATCCTACGGGGCGACAGATCCTGCCACCCAGTACGTGTGCCTGTGTGTACACAGCAGGAGAAAACATGCCAGGGCTGGACTTTGGTTCTGGAATTTTCAGGAAAGACAATGGGAAAAAAGGCACATGAAGGTGACTGATTGAATTGAATTAAAAAAAAAAAAGTAGCTGCAAATAATATATCATTATTTTGATTTTTCAACGTACCTTTTTTTCCCCCATAAAAAGAGAAATTCAAAATATAAACTTAATATTTATTATTTTACATTCAAGTGAGACTTCCATCTGGAGGGGGCTAAACACGGTTGTAGGCCACATTCAGCTGAGCTTTAGTACTTTGGTGCCTTTTTAGCTTAACCTGATGGAAGAATTCAACCCTCTCATTTTTTAAAAACAGCTTGAGAGTCCCAGCTGTAATACTATGTGTAGACACGAACAAGCACACACACAAATTCAAAAACTTCTCCATAGAAAAATAAAGGATAAACATTATCCATCTATTTTATACTGTGTAATGGAACTTTTATATACATAAAATTTTTTTTTCTTTCACGTTTGCAGTCACTGCATATTTTCTTCCCTCCTGTGTGATCTAAGGATCTAGGGAGGAGATTGCCACAGTGAAGCAGAAAAAGCTACATTCCGCCCGGGGAGGAAGAGAAAAAGCACTTTCTCGCTCCCCTTCCCAAGTCCTGCCTGTCCACCGCCACCTCGGATGTCCCTGCGGACGGCCTCCTGGTGAGCGGCCACCCCGCCCTCTCCTCTAAGGCAGCAGGGGACACAAGGCCCGCAGGTAGCACCCTGCAAAAAATGACCTAGGTGTGTGGGTGAGAGAGCGGAAGCAGGCACAGAAAGCCTGTTAAGAATAAAAGATTCTGGAATCGCTTCCCATAGCCTGTTGCTTTAGTATGGAGTTCGATTCTCCAGCTGGTGCTTCGTGAGGAAGTACTTGAAGAACTCATAGACAGACCAGGAGATGGCCGTGGAGGGCATCTGGTAGATGACGCGTGCCTGAATGCCCTTGAAGTAGCCGGCCAGGCCGTTGAGCTGGTACACCGTCCGGAAAGCATTGGCCATGCCCGACAGCCGGCCACTGATGTTGGCCAGGGAGAGTGCCATGTTCTCCTGAGTGTTGAGCAGGGTCTTGCAGACGTCCAGTGGGGTCGTGGCGGCCGCGGCGAGGGCCCCGGCCAGCCCGCCTGAGATGATGTGGGACTGCGGGTTGTAGCCCCGGTGGGGGTTGACCTGCTCTTGCAGGAACTCATAGGTGATGAAGTGGATGGACTGGAAGGGAATGTTCATGGTCAGCTGCGTGGTGTAACTCCGGTAGAAGGCCCCCAAACCCTCGGTCCTCCACACCGTCCGGATGCAGCTGAGGGCTGACCGGTGCTGTGAGTTGTACATCTGCAATCGCTGCTTCACGACTGTTGTCGGGGCCGCAGGGAAGAGCAGGCCAGGCGGGCGAGCAGTGGGCAGTGGGTTGGGTTTGGCCCCACCCCAGATCGGAGTGAGGTGGGAAGCCGAGCCATAAAGGAAAACAAGCAAGTTAGACATGCTGGTCACAGGCCACAAGGAATGAGCACACACAGCCCCAGCCCGAGAAGCCACAAGGGGCCAGCTCCAGCCAGTCCCATGTTAAAATTCCATTTTTATCTCCAGGACCCAGTGCCAGGAAGGTGGCTATTTCCTTAAGTTTCTCCTGTCGGAATCTCGCAAAAGCGCCCCCAAGCCAGGCAGCCACTTTGAGCTAGATTAGCTGATCTGATCTCCCAGCTCCTGGCTGCCCCTGGCAGGAAACTTCGACACCCACCACAAATCTGAACCCTGTCCCCTGCCCTGCCATCCCCAGCACATCTACTGGAAGCGAGTCCCCTCTCTGTCCTTGGGGTCTGTGCCTCTGACAGTGGTTTTAGCTTCTGTGTCATGGTACAACTAGAACAGAATTATGTCTGCCCAAGTTCAACGACAATCTCCCATGCAAACCCTGGCTCTGTGAATGCAAAAGTAACTGAGGGTTCACAGCACAAGAGGCAAATGAGCTTACTGTGGTACCTGAGGAGCAGAGATTTAATGGTCCCCACATATCGCCAAATGAATACATACAGTGTGCATTACTTTTAGAGAAACAAGGGCCTTAAACCAACAGTAACGAAAAGGGAGAGAGAGAAGAGTTAAGCCTCATGTTTCTCTCTTTAAAAAATACAAACTAAACCCTTGCTTGATTAACAGGGCTAATGAACTAGTCACTGACCAAGTGCCTGTATGAATTGCCAAAAAATTTTTTAAGAAGAATAAAAAAAGAATCCCAAGATATATAATATTATGTAAGTGAATATTTATTTAGGGATTTCAGGTTTTTCACTGAAATACTTCCTATAAGGGTCTCTCTCTCCTCTCTCCCTGACTACCTAAGAACTTCTCTGCCCCAAAGAGCACTCTGCCCAGAACACATACAGTGTCCTTGTTCATTACAGGACAAGCCATGAAGGCAGGTAAGTTTACTAATAAGGACATCACATCTCTTGAGAAGGATACTGTGTGTAAAATAAAACAGATCACAGGCTGTCTTTCTGACCTCTCTACTTTCTAAATAAAAAATGAAAACGCTGGGGAATGGGGTTTGCACCCCACCCCCCAGCGTATCTCACGCCACACGCAATAAGGAAACCCAAGTGGGTGGGACAGAGTGCCTGGCTCCACCTGTCCATCTGGGAAACCTCAGCACCCAGGCAACAGAGACTCCCTCCCCACCTCCAATCAGATCCATCAGGACCCTGAAGGCCAGAACAAGTCCCCTGTCTGCTAGGACATGGGAGGTAGCTGACAGCAAACAAGAAGGTTTAGCCTTCAAAGGCAAAAATAGACAAACTTAAATAACACAAGATTTAAAATGTTGAAACTTTTCTCTCTAATTCTCCCTTCTGGCAAGGGACCATTTTTGGACAGGGGAAAAAGGCACAAAGAGATCCACACCTCACCAAAATCCACTGCCAGGTATTGGACAGCCCATCTGATGGCATACCCCATACCAGCCCCCAAAGGGCTCACTAGTCACATCCAAGTAAGCTAAAGATGCTGGGATATACAGAAAGCTAACAGAACTTGTCTGCACAGCTGAAGTTTGCTTTATAATACTCCCAAAATTCAAAAGAAAAAAATAAAAGATAATATGGGAAGACAGCTAAAACAAAATGGCCCAATGTTAATTTCTGAAGCAGAGTGATGGATACACAACGGTTCATAATAATATTCTCTCTGCCTTCGCAAATGTTTGAAGTTTTCCATAATCTTCCAAATATTTTTTTTAAAAACCAAATTGAGCACAAGCCTTAATAAACGGCCTTGGATGGGTTCCCCCCCAAATTTGTCTAGAGTTGATAAAGGTTAACAAGAGCCAGGGGTGTGTATGTGTATGTATGTGTGTACATGCAAACGTGCACACATAGGTTTCAGAGTAGTGCAAAAGAATGCAAAAGAATCCCCAGGAAAGCTTGTTAAAACAGATTCCTGGTCCCTACCCCCAGGATTCTGACCCAGCAGGCCTGTGGGGGGGGGCTGAGAATTAGCATTTCTAACACCTCCCAGGAGATGAGATGCTGATGCTGCTGGTCTGTGTACCACACTTCCAGAAGCTGTTTCCAAGAACAGAAATACCATAAAGCTCAGATGTTCATGTCCCTTCTTGAGGCCTTAAATAACACAGTAAAGAATTCAAATCTGTTTGCTCTGAGGGGGGCCAGCAGTCACCCTGTCCTCCCACTGTTTTTCTGCCCCTCTGCCCGTCCCCTACTGCCCCTCCCTGGAACCATGAAACGTTACCTTCTGCTGGATTCATTACTGCATCGTGGAGCAGGGTGGCCATACTCCCAGCTATCCCTGCAAAACAAACTCCAGAAAATTACCCTCTCAAACCAGGTGTTCTCAGGAAGTTCCTGGAACCTAAAATCAGACGGGACCTAGGACTTAGCTTTCTAAGAAGCAAAACGTACTACCAGCTCCACCCAGGTGAACATGGACTCTTAAAACCCTAAAGTGATCAGGGAAATAATGGATAAAAATGGGGAAGATGAACAATGGCACAGTCATCCGCATCTTAATCTTGCAGAAACCTCTTTTTCTTTCTTATAGTCAACCCTGGGAAAAAAAAGCTAGACTTGCGAACACTGGGTGGTTCCCAGAAACCACGCTTCGTGGCTTTTTCCACTGTCTAGATTTTTATTCTCTTGTCCTTTGCCATTGTCTACACATTAACTCACTCTGACCTTAAGCTGGAGCAACTGAAGGAGATAATAGCCTATATACAGCTGGCATGGGGGAAAAAAGAAATCTTTAAGAAAATTCCTTGGTTCAAATCCAGGCATTTTTAAGAAAATGGGCAAAAGAAGAGGAAGTCGGGAAGATCTGAATCTGGTAGATTTCCAGGGTCAGTGTGCAAAGCTCTGATTCAACTGGGGGACGACTGGCCCTTTCCGGGGGTCTTGTGAGGCCTGGCTTCAAGAACCAGGAACTTCAAAAGCAGGAATCGGACCTAGAATTTTGCTTTTGGCTTTGGCTTTCCTCCCTCTGCGGTGACACTGCCTGGTAATTAAAATTGCCACTGGGAGGTGGGAACGCCAGGGTGACTCTTCAGAAATGCATACAATATCCCCCTCCCGCTGCACACTTGTAATTATTCCCAGAAAGATCAAAACGAAACCTCAGCATACACCACAATGCTGCTGAAACAGCGCTGGGAAGAGTTTGGCATAAAATGGGTTCTGTCAACGCCCCTTCAAGGGGCTAAACCATTACATGAGATAGTCTCAACAAAAGGAGGGCCCCAGCACCGAGGACTGAGAGGCAGCATCGGGGTGTGGCTCTTAATGACCGTCTCCATAAATGCCACTCATGGGCAATTTTTTAAAAGCAAAACAAATGTCTGCATGCCAGCCAGGTGCACTTATTTACCGAGGTTTGTTGATGGGAAGGATGCTTTTTGAGTAGAACCAAAAGAGAAGGGAAAAAGTTAGAGCTGATCACATCTAACCTCTCCAATGTTGAAAACTGAATTTGGCCAAACTAAGTACACTTTCCCATTCCATACCCAAACAAAAAGCAACAAAAGCCAACCCCACCCGAGAGGAGGACAGAAGTGTTCAGCCCTGGCTCAGTAGAACATGCCTTACACAAGAGCTGCTGGCCAACTTGCACCCCCACCCTGCCTCTCTCCCTCAAAACAACCAAACAAAAAACGATTTCAGCCCTTGCTCGCAGAGAGATGCAACTCAGACAAACGCAAGAGAGTGGGGGCAAAACTCCCAAATCCCCAGAAGCTTAAGGTGGGAAGGAAGGGCCTTCTGCGCTGGTGCGAGTCCTTTGTCAGCCATAAAACTTCTTGACCTTTTAAAGCTTAGTTAGATCTTGGCGTTGTAGAGACCTGTTGTACCAGTTTTTAAATAGTCTCAAAGAAGCTGTCCAGATAACTTTTTTTTTTTTTTTGCAATCCAGCATTCAAAAGTTTTCTTTCTATTCAGGGTTTTTCCTATGTCTGATCATTAATTGTTTTTGAAAGTTTAAAAACAAAAGAGCAAAGGAAAACCCACACAGCAATGACAACCAAAACACCTCTGTCACCGATCTGTCCCCAGGCTTCAGAAAGCGAAGTGGGGACGGAAAAAAAAAAAAACAAGCGTGTGTGTGAGCCTGTGTGCGTGTGTCTGGGTGTGTGTGTGCACACACGACTCTAGAGTTCTTTATTCGTGAGCGAGCGTGGCGAAGACGAGGCGTTAAGGCCGCTGGGTCACAGGGAGGAACACCCCGGGGAAGGACGTGTTGAAGAAGAGAACTTTCTAACTCCAGACAAACGCTTTCAAAATACCGTTGGCTAGGTGGCTGTTTCCCTGGTGGTTGAAAACATCATTTAAAGTCCTTTTCATGTTTTCGTAGCAGGCAAAATACATGGCGTGGGCCGGCCCCGCACCCATCATCATCACGTTGAGGCCCCGCAGAGGCCTCCAGAAGCCTTCAGTCCGCATGATCTTCTTGAGCGCTCCATAGATGCTTGTGTACTGGGCTTTGGGATCGGGATTCAAGCTCTGCATTCGCGTCTGGGGGCGGGTAAGAAGAGAAAACAAAACATGGCAGTTAATGGGGACAGTAAAGAGGGAAAAGACCCAGAAAGAGAGAGAGAGAGAAAATGGTCGATTTTCACAATTTCACATGATCTCCTGGTAAAAAAACAAAACAAAACACAACATATGTCTTCTCTGCCTCCTGGAATAAGTCCCCAGTCCCTCTCTGCCCCCTCCCACCCAGACACACGCATTCACATAGATTTCATCATGTCCAGGAAAGGGAGAGAGCAGGTAGGGAGACCCTGCCCTGCCACTGGCAAGCTGTGTGGCCACTGACAAATCCCTTAACTTCTCTGGGCCTCTGGACCTTCAATTCAGAAAAAATGGGGCTGTTGCAAGCAGCAAACACATGTGAAAACCCTATAACTTGGAGTCCTAGATACATAGACACGTGATTATCCTACAGTTACCACTCAGGTTCTGGAGTCTTCTGTGTCCTCGCTTACCCGAAACCTCTGTGCTCTGAAAGCGCCTGTTCAGTCCCTGCCATGAAATCTTCCCGAATCCTCCAGCCCTCACCTGCCTCATCACCCCTAAATATGTTTTATGTTTTGTTTTTATAAGTTCACGGTTAAATATAAATGGTCTTGCTCCCAATTTCTTCCCAAGTGCAGTCTTGTCTCCTTAAGGCAGAGACCTGACTTCCCCTGCTGTGATTCCAGGTGCAAAAGGCACTTGAGCAGTGTGACGGTTATTTTTATGGGTCAGTCGGGCTGGCCCACAGTGCTGGTATTTGATCAAAAACCAGTCTGGATATTTCTGTGAAGGTATTGGTATTTTTAGATGAGAAGAACATTTAAATCAGCAGACTCTGAGGAAAGCACATTGTTCCAATAAACATTGGGTGGGTGAGATGTGTCTAATCAGTTGATGACCGCAGAGGAAGAAAACCTGAGGTCCCCCAAGGAAGGAGGAATTGTTTCCAGACTGCCTTAGGCTTGAACTGTGACATCAGCTCTTCCCTAGGTCTCCGGCCTGCCCCCCTGTCCTGCACTTCCTGGACTTGGTCCCCATGATCATGTGGGCTGACTCCTCAAAGTCTCTCAATCACTTGAAAGACAGACAGATTTAGATATAGCCATCTGGTTACATAGAGCTTGAGATCTCTCTCTCTCTCTCTCTCTCTCTCTCTCTCTCTCTCTCTCTCCACACACACACACCATACTAGCTCTAATTCTCTGCCGAGTAGAAAACCCACATTGGCTCAGTCCTACCACAGCAGCAGCCTTCCTGCTGGTCTTCTTCCCTCCCTTCCTCCCCTCTCCTTCATCCTCTTCCTCCCTTCCTCCCCTTCCTCTCTCCCTGCCTCCCCTTCCTCCCTCCCTTTCTTCCTTCCTTCTTCTACTCCCCTGCTCCCCAACACACAGTCTAGAGGAGAGGCTCTCTCCAACTTTTGGCAAGGAAATCCTTTTATCTTCAAAGAAAATCATACGGAAAACTGTGACTAATACTGTGACTAAAAAGGAAGAAGGTCTCCGAATGAAAATGGTCGAAGAGCCCTCCTCCCACCACCCATAGGGCTCCCTCTCACTCCCCAGGGCAGAGACCCCCAGGTACCCCAGGGATCAAAGGAACAGTGTGAAACCAAGGACCTGAATTCGTGGTCATTTTCAGATTCCAGATTTCACCAGCTATTAAAACCACCAGAAAATAGGCACACTGTTGCCAACTTTTTATTTTGCCAAGAAAGGACACAAAAACAATAACAATACAAGCAACAATCACCACCGCCCTCTCTTACAATCATTTCCTAAAAGAAAGGGCATTTTTAATGCTTGAAATAAAAGACTACCTCTGATTATAAAGCTGTTCTTTAAGTTAGATTTAGCTTCATTAATAACTTACCACTTTTCCCCTTTTTTCCTACCCAGGGTGGTGACAGCGTCCTCTGGCCTTACCCAGGGCAGCTGCTGGACACATGGGCTCCAGGGTCCTGGGAGGGGGTAACCTCTGGGAATGGACAGGGTCAGAGTCCCTGTACTTTTTTGTTTTATTCATTGATTGCTAGTCTAACACTTTTCAAAAGGGATTTGATGCAATTTAATAAGAGGATACATTATAAGCAAACAAGACCAAAGGCAAGAGAAGCAAGTGAACGCACCAATTGAGAGGGTACCTGAATCAAGAGGGCACCTGAATAGTGGTCACGACATCTCCACTTAGCTCCTGAATGGCCCGCTGGCCAGAACAAATGAAGAAGGGTACACAACACACAGCGCTCATAGTGGGAAAGAGGCAGCGAAACTGCTCCTTCAGGATATTTGAAATCACTTAAGTTTTAGAGCAAATATAGTTTTGTATTTCACAGGCTTTTCTCTTATCATTGCCCTGATACAAAGCAAGGGCATGATGCAGCAGGTGGTATGACGTGGTGGTCAAAATCCCAAGCCCAGGAATCCAAGAGAACTGGGACTGAATTCAGACTCCATCACTCACAGGGCGCCCCTGGGCAAGGGAGTTATTCATCTAAGCTTGAGTTTCCTCATTTGAGAGACGGCTGAGAACATTAAATGAGACAATATGTGTCTAAAGCCATCATTATTGAATAAAGGCTTCACCGAGGAGCTACATGAAGGTGATTCATTGAGAGGCCAAAGTAACACATTTCTAGTATCTGACCTTCCAGGGTCTAAGCCCTGCAGAGGCGGGTCGTGTCTCTTACAGCAGATCGCCAATGCAGAACACGATGGACTCATCCTGGGGGCCCAGGAAGTATCTGTTGAAGGCATGATGGATGAACACACCCAACTTAGGATACCAACTGGGTGAAGGGGCAGAGTATCTCTCAGCCCACCTCCTCTAAATGTGTGCCACGCTTTCCAGAACTTAAGCTGTCCTTGCCATCACCCTGATGTAGATCTTCCCTGTCAGTATGAAGTCAAGTTCAAGTCCACGTGTCACTCCCTTTCTCAAGCCTGGGTGTGATCTGCTGGGCCACAAGCAGAGCAGGGCAGGCCCCTGGTGTGAATTCCTTAACCTTGGGGTGTAGCCATCCTCGGCTGGAATAAGCTCCCAAGGAGCCATTGGGGAACAACTGGCAGGACTGGTGTCAACAATGATTGTCCCCACCCCAACCCCTTGCTATATGTGACATCATCAGGTGGGTCTCTCCTTTACAAACCTATGCACATGTGCCAGCTGGAGACTGGCACCACACCCAAGACTGAAAGTGAAATTTAGGATTGATTTCTCAACCTCCTCTACCATTTTAATTAGGGATGCAGCAACTGGAGTACAAATTACTGAACCAGAGTGCACCACCTTCTATGGAAATGACAAGGAAAACTGGGCACCCTCACACCCTCTAGGCTATTTAATGATGTGCACTCTGGACAGGGGCAAGTGACCCAGTCAGGCCCCCACTAGGCCCACCACAGCCAGACAGGCCAAGTTTCGGGCCAGGGCCTCAACTGTCCTGCGGCGCCTTCATTTCCTCCACATGCCTTCTCGGAGCACCCACTTGGGGTGGGCACCAGCACACAGAGGGGAAAAGAGAATGGGGGAAATGGGAAAGTGTGTGATAAGAGGGGGTGGCACAGACCACCCAGGGCACCGAAACGGAGTACAGAGAAGAGACCAGGAGGGATCAGTCCAGCAGCATCCTTGGGGGTGAAGCAACAGGGCAAAAGGTGCGCAGCTAAGAAATGAGGCAGAAGTGGCCAAAGCTGGAGTGTCCAGAATCAATTTAGTCTCTTTTTCAAAATTTTTGGTGACTCTTCCAGTAACATGTAAAAATGAAGGCTGGGCGTTCCCTATCCACCTTGTGGATCAGAGAGGGGAAAAAAAGCCAGGGGTGAGTGGAAGCAACCTGAGTGTTCATCGCCAAGTGAAGACATACACACAATGTTGTCTGTCCACACAGGGACTATTATGAAGCCTTTAAAAAGGAAGAGAAATTCTGACACAGGCTACAGCACGGATCAACCTTGCAGACCCTGTGCCAAGTGAAATGAGCCGGAGACAAAAGACAAATGCTGTGTGATCCCACTGCTGTGAGGCTCTGGGGGAGGCAGCGTGGGATGAGGGTTGGCAGGGGCTGGGCGAGGAGGGACGGATGGAGAGTTAGTGTTTAATGGGAACGGGAGTTTGGGTTTAGTGGAAGGAGTTCTGTGGACGGATGGTATTGACGGCTGCATTAATAGTAAAAACGTACTTCATGCCGCTGAACTGTACAGTTAAAAATGTTTAAGATGGCAAATTTTGTTACGTATACCTTACTACAGTTTTTAAAATACAAAAAAAAAGGAAGTGAGGGTGGAAAGGAAGAAAAAGGAAATGAATGAATCAGGATGCACAGAGTGGGGGCAGAGATTAAAAATAAACACACACACACACGCGAGCACAGAAGAAAATGGAGACACAATTTCACAAATCACTTTTCCTGTCTGGGTTTCAGTTCCTGCCCAAGACTGAGCTGTACCACTCTTTCTTTTTCCTGACAATCAGTTTCTCTGTTTGCATTTTACCTGGAAATTCATAACACACATAAGCAAGTTAAAGGCTCTGGGAAGTCCTTCAGGAAAGAGACCTCTTTAACTTGGTTTTACAAGGCACTTCTTAGCTGTCTGTAGTTTGTGTTGGATGCAAGCCTTTTTTCACTTGATAATCAGTTACACCTTGCACTTGTGAGAACACAGCTGTAGTCAAAGGGCACCTGGGCCTTTGAAGCAGGAAATACAGAGAACATCCTGGTGTCAGGGAGACACACCCCTCACTCCACGCAGAGAACTGTTAGCAGGGAGCAGCCTGAGGCAAGCCAGGAGACAGGCATCCTCCATGCCTACCTACAGTAGAAAATGTTCTGGCCCAGAAACCAGGAGACCTGGGTCTCTGGCCTGGCCCTGCCACTTGCGAGTCCCCTCCAGCTCCAGAGCTACCACTCTATAAGGGGAACTCCAAGGCAGGGACACTCCACAAACTCCCAACAAGGCCAGATGGAGCAAGGGGTCAGCTCCTTACTCAAATTCTCCAAG